CAAACGAAGCAACTGACAAAGGATTAATCTCCAAAATATACAAGCGGCTCATGCAGCTCAATATCATAAAAACAAACAACCCAATCCAGAAATGGGCAGAAGACCTAAACAAACATTTCTCCAAAGAAGATATACAGATGGCCAACAAACACATGAAAGGACGCTCAACATCACTAATCATTAGAGAAATGCAAATCCAAACTACAATGAGGTATCACCTCACACTGGTCAGAATGGCCATCATCAAAAAATCTACAAACAATAAATGCTGGAGAGGGTGTGGAGAAAAGGGAACCCTCTTGCACTGCTGGTGGGAATGCAAATTGATACAGTCACTGTGGAGAACAGTATGGAGGTTCCTTAAAGAACTAAAAATAGAACTACCATATGACCCAGCAATCCCACTACTGGGCATATACCCTGAGAAAACCATAATTCAAGAAGAGTCACGTACCACGATGTTCACTGCGGCTCTATTTACAATAGCCAGGACATGGAAGCAACCTAAGTGTCCATCGAATAAAAAAATTAAAAAAAAAGCTTCTGATGAACCTAAGGTCAGGACAGGAATAAAGACGCAAACGTAGAGAATGGACTCAAGGACACGGGGACGGGGAAGGGTAAGCTGCGACTAAGTAAGAGCGTAGCACGGACATATGTACACTACCAAATGTAAAAGAGACAGCTAGTGGGAAGCAGCCGCATAGCACAGGGAGATCAGCTCAGTGCTCTGTGACCACCTAGAGGGGTGGGATAGGGAGGGTGGGAGGGAGGGAGACGCAAGAAGGAGGGGATATGGGGATATATGTATACGTATAGCTGATTCACTTTGTTATAAAGCAGAAACTAACACACCATTGTAAAGCAATTATACTCCCATAAAGATGTTAAAAATAAATAAATAAATATTTTTAAAAATAACCAATGAAAGAAAAGAACTGGGCTGGTGGTCTATAAAAATAAACGGTGTGACCAGGACTCCTCATTACGGGAGGTCTCAGACCAGGCAGGTGGTGATGGTGGCTGGTAGAGGGGCCACTGGACCCAGCCGAGGTCCCTGATTGGACGGAAAGCACATAGATAGATTCTCAGAGTCACTAAGACTCAGGCCAGCGATGCAGGGAGAGGGGCAGCTCCCCACGAAGGAGGGCAGCACGTGCTAAGGCTCAGAGCAGAGACCATCTCTCTGGACAACGGAGACAGCTCAGCACGACTGCATCCCAGAACCCGGAGAGAATGAGATGGGCGAGAAGGACAAGGCGGGTGGTGAAGAGCCCGTTATGCCGAGCTCGTGGCCTCGGGCTTTCTCCCGAGGGCCGTGATGAGCCAGTGAAGGATGCTGATGGGTGACGAGGCCAGACCCGCACTTGAGGCTGAACCTCCGGGGCCCAGCACGGAGTGGGGGTGTCGGCTGGGAGGACGAGTAAAGCAGCTATTCTGGCAAAACCTCCGGTGAGCGGGAGAGGGGTCCCGAGCCGGCCCAGAGGTGCGGGGCGGGGGGCGGGCAGGCTGAGCCCTCACCTGTGCAAGGCAGAGAAGAGGCTACTGGGGCTGAGGAGCAGCGGCCCCTGGGGCAGCACCGTGCCCCGCTCGTTGACCCAGTGCAGGTAGCCCCGCGTCATGTCCGCCATCCCGATGGCCCGTGCGGAGCAGTAGAGGAACTTGTACCCGTTTCTGAAAAAGAGATGAAACATTCCCGCTTAACAGCATCACGCGATGGAGCCATCTCGCGTGCACAAACCCTGATCTGTATCTGTTTCAGGAGGAAGGGCGCGGCTCTAATTCCCAAGCAAAAGGCCACGTTCTATAAAATCTTAATGGCGAAAGAAGCCTGAGTGCCTTTCCCTGCCGTTTGCTAAAGGACCCTCACGGCCTCACTCGGTTTAATCCTCACGGGAACCTTGTTCAGTAGGTGTCTTCCTCTCGCTTTACAGTTAGGGAAACTGAGGCCGGAGGCATCAAACTGTCCAACTTAGCTGCACCTGGACCGTTCATACATCTCCATCTGGCTGCTCAGCTGTATCCTTTATAATACCCTGATAACATAGACCAGTGAATGCGTTTCCCCAAGTCCTATGAGCCGTCATCAAACCTGGGGAGGGCATGTGGGAACCCTCACTTTGTAGCCAAGTCAGGCAGAAGTGTGGGTAAGCTGAGGACCTACCGCTTATGACTGGTGTCTGAATTTGTGGCGGCCTTGCGGGAATGAGCCCTTAACCCATGGGGTCTGCACTAACTAGGTAGTTAGTATCAGAATTAAACTACTGGACACCCAGTTGGTGTCTGAAGAGAACTTGGGAATTGTGAAATGTGTGAAACCCCCACACATCTGGTGTCGGAAGTGTCGCGAGTGAAGAAACAGATCACAGGAGGGTTCTTCTGTTAAACACAACTTTATTACTTTAGAAGAACTACATGTCCCTTTCTTTGAACCGCTGAAAACTTAGGAGTCTGAAATGAGATGCTGTGCTACAAATATAAAATATAGGCCAGGTTTCAAGGCCTTACTATAAAGAGAGAACATGAGATACCACCCATTCAGAGTTTTGATATCGAGTACATGATTAAATGGTAGTATTTTAATATACTGGATTAAATACATGAAAAAAAAATGTTTAACCCCCATCTGTACACTGATATCTCTCAACTTTACATTCGTAGCCCAGACCCCTCTCTTAAGCTCCAGAGCAATACACTCAGTGGTACACACCACAGTACCCATCAGATACCCACGAGTAGTGCCTCAAACGCTTCCAGGCACCCCTGGAAGCCCAGGGGTGGGGCCCACATCTCAGGGGCCCCCCTCGGTTTCTATCCCCACCACAACCCATCGGCAAGCCCGCTCAGTCCCACCCGTAGCACCATGAACCCCGTGCCGCCCCTCAGTCCCCCTGCCCCCGCCAGTGGGACCTCTGACCTCTGTTCCTGCAACAGCATCAATCATCTCCCTGCCCCCCGCCGAGCCTCCACAGAGAAAGAAAACTTAATACTCAACTCTCCAAAGCCTTGCCAGTTCTCTCAGATATAATCCAAATTCCTCGCCGGGACCCGCAAGGCCACTGAGACCTGGTCCCTGCCTTTCTCTCCAGCCCCATCTGCTCCCTGGCACCGGGCTGGACACCAGGTGTCCTCACCGGTCCTCGCACTCGCCACACCCCTTCCTGCACCTGCCGTTCCTGCTGCCTGCACACTGTTCCCCTAGACCTCCGGGCTTGCCTGCCCCCTCACCTCGTCGAGACCTACTCAGACAGCACCTCCTTGGCGGGCCCTCCCTCGTCCGCCTAGCTAATAAAACACACCCTCCCTCACCCTCACCCCAGGCACTAAGCCCTCGCTCTGCTTTTTTCCTCATGTACCACCGGTCACTAATATTACACGACAGCCCCTTGTTTGACTGTGTCTCATTAATCCATGAGCCCCCTGAGGGTAGGGACCTTGTCTCATTCCTCGCTGTTAACTCCAGCGCCAAAAACAGTGCTTGGCAAGTAGCAGACACTTTGTAAATCTTTGCTGATGGGTAAATACAAACTACCCGCTTCCTATCCGACTTACTGCTCCACAGTGAATACTTCGTGTTGGCCAAAGGACTTGTCTCGAGATTTGCCTAATAATATGTTCTTTAAAACCAAGAAACAGGAACGTGCTGGGACGAAGAGAATCTAGGAATATCAGGTTGTTTGGAATACAGGGATGCATCTGAAAATCAAGCAAGCACTTTAATGAAACATCTTTGTATCTGAGCTGTCTAATTAATGCAATCTTTTTTTAAAAAATCACTATTTCTGTATATAGCTCTTCACATCAAAGTCCTAAAAACTGCCACCTGCAGGGGTCTGAGACGCTAATTTTATTTAAGGCTTGGTTTGCAAATATGCTCCAGGGCTTGATCCTGCCACTGGCTGTCCTCACCACACAAGTGTTCTGCTTCAAAGGCCGTTACTAAACGTAGCTGGAAAAGCAGCTCGAGGACGTCCTAACGGGAGAAATGCCTGTTGGTGGCAGCAGGGATCACCTCTCCAGAGCCTTCACCCCGGTGAAAGCTGTGTGAAACGCCAGGTGTTCCCGTCAGTCACTCAGGTGGCAGAGAGTCACCAGAAAGATTACTCTCAACGGTACCCCTCGTGGATAAGACCCTCGCTCAGAAGGGCAGCCAGTAGCAGGATGCAGCAGGCATACCACCGGACACTCCCGAGCCAGGCTGGGCTGGGCGTGCTCAGGGGCCCAGCACAGCCCTTCCCTGCAGGAGTAGAGTGTACTGCGGGACCAACTATAATGGAAACAGGACACGTGATGGAGCAAGGTGGCCACGAGGGACCCCAGGGCAGGAAGGACAGCCCTGCCTGAAGAGGTACCAGTGAACAGAAGTGCAACACACACACGTGGGTCACACTTATCCCTCCGACATCTCAGCAACTAGAACAGGGCTCTGGGGAAACGCCAGAGACAAAAAGAAGGCATCATTCCATGGCCAGGCTTGGTACAAATGATTTTCTCCTTTTGTCCCAATCTCTACATCCCTCTTAGAGGCCTGGAGAGATACTGAAATAGACTGGAAAGATTCCCTTTGGGTAACCTTCTACCTCTTCTACTTAATTTTCCAAGATAAGCTTCTATATTGGAGTTTCTCAATTACTAGTTGCCAATGACACGCCCCAGTCATGACAATCAAAGATGTCTCCAGACATTGCCACACACCATGGGGGGCAAAATCCCCACTGAACGACAGTGATGTAGAGGAAAGGGAACTCGGTAGCCCTGTCTGCAGCCCTAGAGGAAGGGTACTCGCCTGCCACCTTAGGAAAGGAAAGCTCAGGGCCAAACTCAGGCTCGTTCTCAGCCCCGCCTGCACGGGCCCTGGTGTCTGGTGCCAGCCAACTTCCAAGTCACATAGGCCGCCGGCCCTCTGCACCGTGGGCCCCCTGCACCGCCGACCCCCTGCACCGCCGACCTCCTGCACCGTGGACCCCCTGCACCGTGGGCCCCCTGCACCGGGGCCTCTGCACCGCCAGCCCCCTGCACCGCCGACCCCCTGCACCGCGGGTCCCCTGCACCGCGGGCCCCCTGCACCGGGACCTCCTTTCTGTGAGCGCTCCTCACCCCCACGAACCTGCCCATCTCTCAGCCCCTCTTCCCACTGCTACCTCCACCCGTGATGAGCCTTCCTCTCTTTCAAAACTCTGCTCACCCAGTAAGGCTCAGCTCAGGTGCCACCTTCTCGCTGAAGCCTTCTTTGATTCCTCGCCCTTCCAATCAGAATTCACTTCTCCTTCACTGACATCTGTAAAATCTGCCTCTCTCACTACACCCCGCCCCAGTGCCTCGTTACGGGGCGTGCTGTAGGGGTCCTTCTTGGGGGTCACAGGGTGCCCGACGGGAGGGGCTGGCAGCACCCCCTAGCGTACCCAGAACAGCGCCCGGTGCACAGAAGGTTTGTGGTCGGGCTCAGCGCATCCTCAGGGCTCTCACAGAGCCTTGGCTTGGAACAGCGCACGCGGGCTCGGGACTGACTTGAACCACCCGACCTAGCGGCGCAGTGCTGCCAGCCTAGCAGGGACCGACCGAAGGGATGGTGGGATCCAACTCCGCCCTTCGGGGATGAGGAAGCCAAAGCCGCGAGCAGGGGACTGGTCGGAAGGTCTGTGGTGGCCCGACGGCTATGGCCCCTAGAGCCCAGGTCCCCGACTCCCTCCCATTCGCCACACCACACTCTCCCTTCCTGGCAGACAGCGATGACGCGATAACTTAGAAAGACCTGAGGTGAGGGGAAGAAAGAACCGCTGTGGGCGGGAGAAGAAGAAAGATGCTAATGTCTGCTAATGATCGGTCCCCGTCTTCAGCATCTCGGCTTCAGACGATACATTCCGCAGGCCACAGATGAACTAATTTATCCATGGAAACCCAGGAAGCATTCCTCCCGCTAATCATGGGGCCACCGACTTCCGGTTACGTGAATATAAAAATATTTATCCAGGAAGGTAGGAAATTAGAGCAGTTTTTGTCCATACTTAGCCCCCCGCAAATCCCCACTGGCTCAATGATCTACATATTTTAGGAAACGGTCCTGCTTTATTTTCCTTCTACTTATTGGACACGTATATTTGAATACGCGGGAGTTTCACATCTCTTCTATTTGTATCTGCTATAGCTCCTTTTAATCAATAACCAAGTCTGCTTTTTAAAATCAATAACCAAGCGAGCTTTATATCCTCTCTATGAACAAGGTGATGATCAACCTGACAGGTAATTTCTCATGGGCTGACTTATTCAAACGAGTAATTACATTTGGCAAAAAATAAATACAATGGTCCTCATTTTCTGTTGTTTCCAGGCAAGTGGTCATCTGCAAGACTGGTTTTTCCGTTAGAAAAATACTGCAGGGCATAAAATTTGAGGGGTACCCAAATGCAAGGAAAGAAGCATCAGGGAAGAGTGATCAGTCCAAAACTCAATTAAACGGCCCCTTCCTCCTGGTACTCTGTCATGTGAAACATTTCTCTAAATACGTCTCTGGGTGATCACAAATATGACACCAACAGAAACGGCCACCCAGCCTTTACCAGTTCTCAGTCCGTCCCTGCCCTTCTCCCAGCTGGGGCTGCCGAAGACTTGGAGGAGGTAGCATGTGAGACGCTGGCTGGATGGGCATTCGCTCTAACCAGCTACGAAAGCCGACACCACGTCCAGCCTGGCTAGAACTCTGGGATGGCACCAAGGCCACCAAGCCAGGCCGAGCCCTTGGGTATCAGGAAGCCTAGAGGAGGAGGACGTAGGGCTGCCCAGGGCACCAATTCTGACCTGAAGGGGCTTGGTGAGGACCATGGGGTCTGAGCCGGGCATTACAGGCTGAACAACTGGGGGAGGCAAAAATCAGAGGTAAAGGCACGCCAAGCAGAAGCCACCATGTGAGCAAAGGTGGGAAGATGGGAAAACGACGGATACGGGGTGGGGAACAGTCAGACTGGATTCGAGCAGGAAGGTCTGCGGAGAAGCAGCAACAGATCAGGAACTGGCGGAAGCTGACCTGAAACCGCAGGGTTTGAGAGCCACGCTAAGGAGGCTGCCCTTGCTCCCGTACAGAGCCCCTGAAGGCGATGGCCGAGCTGGCGGACGGCCAGGACATCACTGGTCTAACCGTCCGGGTGCCACTGAGGACACACGTCAAACTCAGTGAACAAGTTAAGTGTCAAGCTCCTTCCTGTCAACCAAAATGAAAACACAACAAGCAGTCTGTGGCTCTCAGGTCCTCACCCACAGACCGGACTCATTCTGAATCAATCAATCGAACCAAAACAACGACCAGGTATTCTTTGGTAAGCTACGCAACTTTATTTTTCAAGAAGATACCTTTTCTAGGAGAACCCAAGAGAGACACAAATCAAAACCAAAAAAAAAAAAAAAACCGGCAAAACATAGTGCCTTTTTTTAACCTTACAGTAAGAACAGGGATAGCTTTATGTTCCAAACCCAAAATGAATGAGGCTGTGAACTACTCTGTATCCTGACCCACAGGGGTTTCTTTCGACGAAAAATAGAGACAGTTTTCAGTGTGAGGCCAGTCAAGGCAGCTCATCAGTGGATTAATCCTTCGAGGCAAAGAGTCAGCCGTGCGGAGGTGGCGGGGAAGGCCCTGAACGCATCGCCTACAGGAGGGAGGCCGGGAGAACCTCTCAGGGGGCAGCCCGGGAACATCGACCAAACCTTTCCGTGTGCTCGGCCTTCCACCGGCAATTCTACTTCTGAGAATCCACCTTACAGCGGCCCTTGTGTAAGCGTCGTACCTTCTCTACTTATCTGTACGCTTGTTGTACATAATAAGGACTTTCTGTAAATGCTGATTGCATCACTATTGGAAAGAGTGAAAAACTGGAAACGCCCTATCGTGCTCACCAACAGAGGACTAGTTAAATGCAGGGTGGTTTACCCACGGCATGGAATTTTGTACTGCAGTTAAGAAGAACGAGGTAAACCTCACACATAATGAAACAGAAGGATCTTCATTAAATAATGTGCACGTGGGGCGGGGGAGCATGTAAATGAATTTTCAGTATACACGGAACCAAACCGGTCACAGTGGTTCCACTGGTAGAGAACGCATAATACTCGTAGCCGATAACTTACAGCTTATCGGTAAGGCAGGAGAAAGATGTGACCTTTGTACTTTTATATTTCTCTTGTTTTTCTTATTTATTTTTTTCAAAGAAGCATGTATTACTTTTAACATTTCTTAAGGAAGACATCCAGAAAAGGAAAGTCAAATCAATGAGCTGGGCATCTAAGAAGTGAGAAGCTTTGAATCCACCAGGAGGAAAGGTCCTCCCAGGCACTTCGTGCCCCACCAACCCGAAGCGTGAGGTCCAGCAGGCCAGAGACCATGTCTGCACCTCCCGGCTGTAACTAAGTGGAGGACAGAGAGGTTTCACTTACGTGGGAGACTCTAGTCCACAGAGAGATGGAGACAGTGGGACCAAGCTCCTGCTGGTGGTGGTGCAGGGATGGGGACCCCAAGGGCTCTGAACCCTGGAGACGAACCAGAGCAGAAGTACTGCACTTGGAGCTATAGGTCGACCAGGGTTTCAGTGAGTTCTGCCTCTTAGCAGCTACGGGAATTTGGACAAATTGTTTTAACCCTCTAAACCTAGAAATGACATTACTTGCTTCTCGGAACTACTGTAAGAGTTAAGTGAAGTGACAGATGTACCCGACACACGAGAGCAACTCAAAATCTACCCTCCCACACTGATGTCCCAGGTACGGCCCCTCGGCAGTGTGCTCCCCGGACCAGGTGGGCAAGGTGTGCACTGCTGGCTGGCCCACAAAACCTGCTTGGAATCTGGACCTTTTCAGCCTAAAATAACTCCCTTGGTCTACATCAGAGACTACCATGTCCTCACCCGACTATCTGTGCCATTCCTCAGTATGAACTGAACCTCAAGCCCTCCCCTAAGGCTGCCACCACCTTCCTCCTCTGTCAATTTGCAATTCCCCGGCCACTTCCTCTCTTGCCTTTTGGTACTGAATTCAGATCTGAAGTTGGCGGGATTCACCACGCGCTCACCCTCCCTGGCCAAGGGACACCCGTTTGTAAGTCAGCCCGTCGGCAAAGGTTCCGTGTGCGGATTTGCCGCAAGCACTTCGCTGGGTACTTACTGGCTCACTTTATGGTACAACTTGGCGATGCCCTGGTGGGTCCAATCCTTCCCAAGGGTGGGCAAAATGTGGCCAAGAGTATCTGATCTAAATAAAAACAGAGACAGGAAAAATAAAGTTAAAAGGGCATCGCGAAAGGGGGAAAAAGAAAAAAGTCATCCTGACTCATTGCACCAAATGCCTCATTAAAAAATGCAAATGGGATCCACGACTTGCTCTCTGGACGGAAACCCCGAAACTGAGCAACAAAGCCAGGGAGCCACCGCCCCAGAGGGAAGCGACCCCCAATCCCCCACTGCAGCTGTTTAAATCAAGGAGCTGTGGCTCCGCGGGCGGCACCGACCGCCCCAGAAACTGAACTGCATGAGCTGCACGATGCCCCGGAAAGAGGAACTGACACGCTGGCTCCAGGCCCCGGGGTCCCACGGCCCCGAGTCGGCGGGACCCACCTAGTGATGGTTCCATCGATGTCAGAGATGATAACCTTATCGTCCCAGTTCCACAAGTAGATGGTGCCTTCACAGCGGCACGTGCCCTGGTACTGCGTGGTGACGCTGAAGACCACGTCGTTGGGTCCGTTCTTCAACTTCAGGCTTTTCTGAAAGATATGCACTCTGTGTCCGCTGGAGGGCGAGGCTCAGAGAGACGGATATTCGGTTTCTGTTCCACGAGAAACCGGATCCGGATTTTGTTTTTGTCAAAGCACCACCCTAGGCTACCGTACAGTTCTTTCCCTGTCTTGCTCTCGAGGAGGACTGGTCTTTCCAGGACTTGGGCAACCTGAACCCCAGGCCCCCTCGCAGGCCCCAGCGTAGCGCAGCTCACCCTCACCCACGCCCCCCTGGGGTTTGTAAGTGACGGGCTCTGAGGGTCGCCGCAGGAAATCACAACTTCAGACTGGGATGTGTTTACTAGGCCACGGCTGAGTACGAAGGGCCATGGCCGGGGAGACGAATCTAAGTCAAGGATGAAAATACGTTCCCCGAACCAGCCACGAGTACTAGTTAATACACGGACACAAACTGGAAGAAAGCAGTCGTCTCAGTTATCAGGTACATCTCGTATCCAGAAGCCCAGAAGCTAGACCCCAGGAAATCACACTGGATTCCGAAGGCAGAATCCCCTCTCAGCGGTTCTGAATCTCGGCACCGGGGCCCTCGAGTGCAAGCCAGCTGGGGGCAGGAGTCCAGGTCGCCCCCAGCGGTGCAGGGTGTCAGGCCTGACCGTTCTCTTTTCCCATCAGACACCATCACAACTAAGCCTGGCCCCCACAAACTCCTCGGAGAGCAGCAGATACCTGCTCGCTGTCTGCTCCTGGGAAACAGGGTCCAGGGATTAAAACTGGTGGCACGGCCGCAGAGCAGAGGACACTGTGACCAGGATGGCCCCCTGCTACCGGAAGCTCTCTGAATCCCATCACAAGTCCTCCTTTTCCCCCAATTCAGGAGATGCGGTTGACTTAACAAACATCTCTGGAAAAGTGGAAACAGCCCTGCGAGATCTGGGCTCTCAGGCATTCACAGCTCAGAATAAATTCACGCCTTCAGGCCGCCCTCCGCCAACACTTGCGGACAGGAGCCTCCAGGGCAGCGGCAGGGCCGGCACAGGGGAAGTGATGCTTTGGAGCCAGCCCGGACAGGAGCTGACGTGGGGCGTGAACCGGAGACACCAACAGAGGGATGTGAGGTTCGCAGGGGGGCGGCAGGCAGTTGGATAGAGGTGCCAGAGCTGAAGCTGGAGACAGAGCATGGGAGGGACGCCCGGGTCATTGAACCCACCGAGTCCAGGTGGCCGTGGCTGGGCCAGTGCCCGCAGCGTGGTGGAGGGGGAGGACAGGACACTCACCAGCTGCTCTGACGTGAGGCGCAGGGTCTTCTTGTAGCCAACGCTGGACAGCAGGGGGGGGCGGCTCGTGCTGGGCAGCCTGGCGGACGCGTGTTCCTCCTCGCTGGAGGATGACTCATGCTTTATTCTGGAACACACAATGATGTAACTGCCAATTAGGAAGTACATCTGGGTAGCCATTAAAAATGCATCAGGCCGGGCTTCCCTGGTGGCGCAGTGGTTGAGAGTCCGCCTGCCGATGCGGGGGACACGGGTTCGTGCCCCGGTCTGGGAAGATCCCACATGCTGCAGAGCGGCTGGGCCCGTGAGCCATGGCCGCTGAGCCTGCGCATCCGGAGCCTGTGCTCCGCAACGGGAGAGGCCACAACAGTGAGGGGCCCGCATGCCGCGAAGAAAAAAAAAAAAAAAAAAAATGCATCAGGCCGGACTCGATGACGGAGCCCATCGGGTGGTGGTCACTGACCAGAGGCCATCACTAACGCCATCCATGCGGCTCCTGCATTATTCATCCGGGACTGCCTCTCCTCATTCACCCTGTCATCACCACTCTACTTTAAACCAGGAGGCTCCCGTCCTGATCAGCGGGCTCAAGCTCCCTCCTGGCCTTGGAGGATGCTCACATTCCCTCTCTTGCCCTGTCCCAGGCTGCTGGCCAAGCACAGGAGCCCAAATTTCCTGCACGTCCAAGCTGACCGGTTCCCGGTACACACCGCTCCAAACGCACAATCCCAGGTAACGAGGACCCTCTAGGCCTTACGAACAGGTGCCGGGGGAGCCAAGAAAGGCCCCCCGATGCTCCCCTGGACCCCTAAGCAGGCTGCCCCAGGAGCAAGAGCCGTACCTTATTCACCTGCACAGGATCCAGCGCTCCGAGCGCTTCTGGACTTCTCCGCGTGGTCGGGGCTGGGAGGTGCGGGTGGGAAGCAGGCTCATTTTCTTTAAATAGCTCAGATAAGGCATGTCAGCAATTAGCTGTTCCCTGGATTCAAATCCTGCTATGGCATAGTCCCCAACCCAGCAGTACTAGACCTGCTTCCTGGGACCATTTTCTTTGAAAATGCCGTTAACGCCCTACAAAGTGCTTCGTAGACGTTTGTTAGGCTAAATGGAGAAAGCTAGGCAGCCCCAGAGCAGGCCCCACCCGACTCCCGGGATGCACGCTTCCCCCCCGGCCGCTCCCCCGCCGCAAAGCTTCTGGTTCAGCGCATCCCTTTATGCAAGACAGGCACACGGGGCTCCATCTTAGCTTTGCGTCTCAGTGAACTCCTGCCCCCTCGCCCTCCCTTCCCTTCTACCAGGAAATGATTGGGTATTTCCTCTGCAGCCTGTTGCTTTCTTGCCCCATGTGCTCGTTCCAGAAGCAGTTCCTACAATCCGATACTGCCCCGCACTAGGGCAGACAAGAGGGAAGACCCCATTACATGGCACCCCGCTTCTGTGCTCTTTCTACTGGCTCCTTCCATGTCCAGAATGAGCCGCCCCTCCTCAGACCCCTGCTGCCGGGGCCCTACGAGGGGCGGCCTGTGGGCTGTGGGCTGGTGGACTGGAGCTCATGCCACCGATGCCTCTAGGCACCATGCCAGGCGTGGAGGATACAGCAAGCAGCCTGGTCCCTGCGCTCCCTGGGGCTTTCTGTCTGAACAATCACAACAGAGCTGGACAAGTGCTATGCTAAGAAGGCAGAGGGCATCTGAGAGCAGCCGGACGAGGGGTCCAGGAGCTACACAGAACAATCTGGGCTGGAGTCACAGACTTGGCCATCACGGGGACACAGCCCTGGTGCACGAGCCGTGGGGACAGGTGACTATGTCCACGGAGAAAGAGCACGTTAGCCTAGAATCCCGGTTGGTCCATGGCGGGGTTAAGCTACAACTGGATGAATGAATCTACACCTGTGACGCTGGGGGCCGGTTCTAGGTAGAGTGGAGACCTGAGAAGCCCGGGTTTGAACCCCAGGAACTTCAGGCTATGTTATCCTGCTCAGACTATTTTCTTTCAGACTAGACTTCCTCATCTTAAAGTGCAGGGGAGCAAACGGCATCCCACCGACCAAGAGATCCCGGAGGCCGGCAGGTACGAGACAGAAAGAAGTGGACCGGGAAACAGGCGTCCCAGGAAAGGCCTCACAACCACAGGATTCCTCTCTGGGCCTCGGTGGCTCATCTGTAAAACGACACAAAAGTCCCTTCCCCTTCCGACCCCTGCCGATCCTACAAACAACGCTGATCCTTTTCAACCAACAACCTAGAGGTTGGTTTTCAGACAGACGGGTACACGTGGTCCTGGAGCCAAGCGGCCTGACCAGTGCCTGGGTGGGAACCCAGGAGATGAAGCTACAGGCCCCTCATTGAATTGGAAAATGTTTATGTTCCACGCAAACAGTTTGGTGGGAAATGAGATCCAAATGTGAACTGAAGCTCTCAGTGGCAACAGAATGATGTGAGCCTCTGCTGGTGGGATGCGGAAGCAAGGCACAAGAGCTCTTAGCTCCATCTGCTGCTTTAAAACAAAAACCAAAACCCCTAGATCGGTGCAGCATGCCACGTTTGAGGGAGCGCGGAAAGGAAAACACAGATACAGAAGCGGCAATGGGAGCTGTACACTTCAGCTGGCGGTGCCGGCCTAGGGCGAGGGCACGGTCACCTGTGGACCTGGCCACCCCCTTCCCCACTCCTGCAACAGTCCTTAATGTCACTGGCTTCGCGGCGTCTGCAAGGAGCGACAGAACGAAACAAAAGGGCTCATCTCACTCGAGTGTCTGTGTTCAGCCAAGGAGCTGTGAACAACATTGAAGTTCGCACTTGTCAGTGTTCAGTTTTTGATGGTATTTTAATGACTTGCATGGTGACAAGCTGTTTGCTCAATTATGAGACTTCAGGGACTGTTCTGTCAATCACAAGTCTGTCAATTAGGAAAGCACTCCGGCACTTTTTTTCAGTCAACTGCATGAATCTAATTAGGGGACTAGGATGCCAGTAAAAATGAAAAGATGTACACTGCTCAGGAGACTTTACACGAAGACTTTTCAGAGCCTCAAATCCTTTTCGCAAGAGTCAATTCTTCGTGTTTCAGGTTTCGTAAAAAAAATGTAGCCTGACTAACTAACTCAGAGTGGCCAACAGTCAAACTCTTTCTATCTAAGAGGGCAGAGCGTTTCTGTCAACATCTGAATAGGATCATATCAGATACTAAGAAAATCTGAAGCGCTTCAGACGGACTGTGTCAGCCGATGTTCCAGCTCAGGAAGAGCTGCAGGAGCGCCCTGCTGCCTCCTCCACCCTCGGCCCACCGAGCGGCCTCCAGGAGCGGTCACGCGGCTGGAAAGGAGAAGAACACACAGCCCGTACCAGCCACTGTCGTGTTCTGTCCCTTTTAAACCTCTCTGAGCCCCTGGCCAGCCTTCCCCAGGTCTCAGACTGGCATATCGCAGGCCGGATTTGGCGGACATCCTGCGTTTGGCCCATATTGTGGAGTATAATTTTAAACACTTGCAACTGCATGGTTAAGATGAGCCTGTGTCTTCCAGGCCACCACAGAGCCACCCACCCTCCTGACCGCAGGCACAGCCCATGTGGCCTTGTTGGGTTTTACGTTCTGCACCTCCTTTCTCATGAGGCTGCCGTGAGGATTAGATGAGCCAACACCTGCAGTGTGGGTGTCAGTCTTGTGCCCATTTCACAGATGAAGGAGGAAACACCGAGGGGCTGATGAATTCGCCAAAGATCATAGAGAAGAGTGACAAAGTCCCAGCCCATGCTGCCTCTTCTGCTTGGAAATTACTGCAGGACACAGAGGGTCTCAAAAAGAGCCCCAGGAGAGCAGGGTATTTCCAGTGCAGCCAAACCGCTGGTTTCAACTGCTCAGGACAGAAGGGTGGCATCTTTGCTTGTGTCTCCCACCCTGGCTGCTCTGGGAACGGACAGCACGCTAGTTCCTTCCCTCAGATACGGAAAGGAGTTTACCCAAAGCCAGGACTCCAAGCCGGATTTGCCTGACTCCAAAGTCCGCCGTGTACATCCTGCTGCTTCAAACACCCCCTTACCGAAAACCCACTGCCTTCTATCCCAACGGCCTCCTACACCCCCTCAGGACTGCGCATTTTTAGCCCGGGTTCCACCTGCCTTCTCCCCTCCAAGCTCACTCAAGGTACACTCAAAATTCCAGGTGGGGAAGGTATCCAGATAACCGTGCTGGAAAGCCCCTCCCCAGAGAATGAGCCAGAGATGGAGGGTGAAGATTGGAAAAGAAACACACAAGCTCTTCGACCCTGCTCCCTCGTCCAGGGCAGACCGGCAGGGGGTCAGGTGGGAAGGAACAGCGCCAGGGAACCACCAGGGGGAACAGAAAGGGGTGTCCTGTGATAGCATCCCAGCCGAGAGCCGGCCCTGCCATGCAGAGTTTTATCAGGTCCTGCGCACTCTTCTCCACAGAGGACAAGAAAGAAATCAGACTGTTTCCTACGTGACACCTACATGAGTTTCTATTTCCAACAATGAGTTCTAGAAATAAAATAGTTTAAGATACAGAGCTCTGGCCAGGAATCCAAGGACTGGAAATCTAAGCCCGCCTCCCCTAGGAAACAACAATATACTGGAAAAATCTCATCAGTTCAGTAATAGCACATTTAAGACATGCCTGCTCTGGGTCAGCCACTGGCTTGGCCTCTAAGCTATAAAGAGGATAGAGGGCTTCCCTGGTGGCGCAGTGGTTGAGAATCTGCCTGCCAATGCAGGGGACACGGGTTCGAGCCCCGGTCTGGGAAGATCCCACATGCCGCGGAGCAACTAAGCCCGTGAGCCATGGCCGCTGAGCCTGCGCGTCTGGAGCCTGTGCTCCGCAACAAGAGAGGCCGCGACAGTGAGAGGCCCGTGCACCGCGATGAAGAGTGGGCCCCGCTCGCTGCAACTAGAGAAAGCCCTCGCACAGAAACGAAGACCCAACACAGCCATAAGTAAATAAATAAATAAAATTAAAAAAAAAAAAAAAAAAAAAGGATAGAGATATGCATCTTGCCCTCAGTGAACATGTTAGCATTTTCTGCCTGCTAAATAAGAAACGCAACCCTGGGTTTCTCAAGCACAGGAATACCAGAAGGGTGAGGTCATATGTAAGAGGTGTTATACTAGCTCGGATCACTCAGCGTCAATATGCAATAACACCGTCGAATTAGTGGGTGACGGCATGGCCCTCACAGTAGTTACCCTCAAATCCCGTACGAGTAGGTTACCCTGAAGACAAAACACGACTCATATGGATCCGTATTATCAAAATCTAAGGGCTCTGTACCAAGTTAACATGAATCCCCATCAATACTTAGGAAAGTATCAATGTAGGTCCTGGTAAGTGTTTAAACTACAGAGAAAGGCAAGTTCCTTCAGAAGGGCGACTTGTTTTCATGCCCCTGTTAACGCCGCTGTCCGACCTCATCATCATTGTTTACCACCGCTGCTACCACCTTCTGTAAACTGAGGGCTAGCGCATGCCAAGAGCACGAGGGGTGCTCGTTACATCACCCCATGCACGCCTCACATTTACTCTGGAAATTCGGTATCTGAGGAGCAAGCGCTTCCATCTGATTCTTGGGAACAACCATTTGAGTAAATTGCTCCAGGTCATTGAGTAAAGGACAGAGCCAGGTCTGCAACCCAGGTCCGTCCGGGTCCAAGGCCTGGGCTATTCGGTGAACGCTATCAGCATCTGTGCCTTGACCGTAGACACAGAAAGGAGCCGCAACGCCCCAAGGTGACTTGGCACTGTACCTGGTGGCCAGGCCCAGCTGTGACGGCTGCTCCCCAGTGCTGTGGCTCTTTCCTGCTAGGCACTGCTCTGGCTTACTTTCCTGGAGAAGAAGAAGACAAAGAATCATGAACACACCGAAGGGAAACCACCTACACAACCACTGGCGTTCTGTGACGGGCTCCCCAAACTCCAGAGCAGGGCCCCAGTGCCCTCCCCAACGGCAACGCCCCCACAGGGATGGTGGGTCCTAGTTACTCCTTTGCTTAGCCGTCTACAATTAAGCTGAGAAGTATTTTTGACAAAAATAAGTCTGTTTTCCATAAGTATTCTTGGCACCAAACCAAACTTCATAATCACTGTAGCTTATGCAAATGCTTTATCAAGGGCTGCTTGGATACGCGAGGGCTTTCAAAATATTTTCTTATAATTGCTGATAGAAATGCCTGAAAATATTTTCACACCATATTTTGCCTGAGAAAAACATGGGCGCATTCTCTCTCTCAATACCGCATGCTCTTAATAGAAGATGCTCCTTTGATGTACTGGAAAGAGCTTTGGAATTCTAAGAGCTCTGGGCTCAGTCCTGCTTCCCTGGCTTAGGAACCTCGGGCAAGTCATGCAACCTTCTGGAGCCTCGTTTCCTCACCAGCAACACAGGGATGATGACATGCCTCTCCTAGTGCTGCCATGGGGACCACAGAGATGCTGCAAATAAACACAGAGCCTGGCCCACAGCAGGCAAGGGAGGAGGAGAACATCCACGAGCCCCACAGACGTCACAGGAAGTCATCACAGGCCAGACACGTGTGTCAAAGGACACAGAATTTACAATCAAATTTCACGATCTGTGGTCATTTGGTCAGGGGGTAGAGATTGATGTTTTTAATATGAATAAAGAAAATGAGTGATAGAAACTGTGTAACAGGGTGATGAGCTTAACATTTGATGGGGACAAGCTATTTTCAAATATTCTTTAGCTTTTTATAAGCACGCAAATAATTGATGTGAGAACAGGCCCAGTAATGTTTATCTGTTGAGGCAGGTAACTTAGCCGCCACTATTAACAATTCTTTATTAGACCAGCACAAAAATGTGTATCTATCTGAAATGTATTTCAGGTTTTCAAGAGATTTCATAACTCTTCCTTATTGCATGTCGCATTCTCCTCAGTTCCAACTAATGAAACTCTGGACGCTCCGCAAAAATAGGTCTCTGAAGTAGCCTTCTTCTTAAATTCTCGAACTTTCTGCTCTCCAGTAAGAGAATCAGAAAGGCCCCTTACACCTTAAGTCTCCTAAAGTAAAGTGCATGCTTGCTCTACCGTGTTTATACCCCTCGGAGATAATGGGACAGTCAGTAAAGCTCAGGTATGCCCACAGAAAATGCCCAAGAACAGTTTTATCTTGATGAAACCCTCCCAACAGACTCTTTCCCTTTGAACTAATGAAATAAACAAACTGAGCCCCTGGGATTTCTTTTACTCTTATAATAACCAACTCGACCGCTGCCCTTGGGGTTTCTTCACACTAGATTCCAAAAGTACAATCAGCATTCCCTCAAATATCTATCTGCCGAACCCCTGCTCTGGGTCCCAAAACGGGCGCTCGGGAGACCCCAGGGATCCAAGCCACGAGCACGTGCGGTCTCTGCCTTCATGGAGTTTAGGGTCTGGAGGGGACACAGGGATGTTAATCAAATAGTCGTACTAATCAGTGTGTAACTATAAACGATGAGAGAACCTGTGAAGGAAAAGGTCCCAGGCAGGGTTAGGAGAGCAGAGAGCAGCAGACTAGACTAACCTGCCCAGAAAGGGCCATTTGAGACGCTAGGTAATTAAGTGAAGAAGGGTGACGGGGGTCCTAAGCACACTAGGCAGAGAAATAACACGTGCAAGAGTCCTGGGGTGGAATGCACTTTCAGCCAGGGACACCAAAGCACAGAGGGCAGGGGGAGAACGGCAAAAGGTGAGGCTCTACAGAGGCAGGGGCCAGGATACACAAGTCCTGTAGACCATGCTAGGGCTACTGGTCTTAATTACAAGAGCGCTGGGAAACCGCGGAAAGCTTTTAAGCAGGGAGAAATATAAATGGGGCCTTGACACGACACAGACCAATGCCAACTGCAGAGAATGGACACAGAAAGGCCGTTTGGAAGCAACCCTCGGAGGGAAGGTGGCAGCCTTGAGTTGTGGGGTGTGCAGCTAGAGGGAAATGGAAAGCCTGAGCGATATTTAGGATGGTAAACTGACAGGCGGGGTGAGGGAAGAAGGAAGTACTAGCCTGTGGGTGGACAGTGGTGCCATTTGCTGACGGTGGTCCAACAGAGGAAGAACTCTAGAGAAAACCATCAGATTGATTTCAGAAATGACAAGTGTGAAGTGCCTGAAGCATCCACGTGGAGGTATCTGCCTAGCTGGCTACCTGATAAATGGACATGGAGTACAAAACGCCCTCCTTGTTAATAAAAATGGAGTCATCGCATGGGCGTGAATGAGGTTGCCTAGGGAAAAACAGGCAGACGAAGCAGGAGAGAAGGCTCTAAGACAACCCTTGAGGACCCACTTACAAAGGGGCTGAGCCAGGGGAGGAACAGCCCCCGAGGTGGGGAGGGAAGACCAGGCAGACACACTGGCACAGAAGCCAAGCAAAGAAAGTGCTTCCAGAAATAGGCTGAGAGGTTGGCAAAGATCTGAAACAAATTATAGGCATTTATAGAAATGGAAACCAAAGCCACCAAAGTGAAACGACTAATGGGAATTAGTCTAGGCTGTAAGTCTACCTCGTTAAAACTGTTCTCAAAGCAACAGGAAGATATTTAACTTAAAAAAAAAAATTTAAACGTCACATTGAATCTCTTCTTTTTACAGATGAAGACACATTTCAGAGCAGGAGTGACCCGACCACGGTCCCCAGGCTGAGAGGTAACAGAGCCAGGATGTGACGGCAACTCTGCTCAGCGCTCCGGGCCCTTCTCCACCTCCCCTCATTCTGTGCTCCCTTTGCGTACCCTGTGGCAGGCCTGACTCTTGCACACTCGGTGTGATGGCTTCTTTCACTGACACGCACATGGAGACAAACCCTACTACCCAAACCCAAAATCCGCTGAGCTAAGTAGGAACACTCTTGTTTTTCAGACTCACCTCTTTGATTGTGCTGTTTCTTCCCCTCCATGAAAACCACCATCTTCCTCCCTTTCTGGGCATCTTATCCCTCATGATAGATTCCACCGTGGCCTGTTTTAAATGGATGGTAACATAAATAATGGAACCAAAAAAAGATCAACTTAGCACATTCAAACCAAAAGACACACACATGCAAATTAAAGTAAGATTTAAAAAAAAAAAAAAAAATCAGAGAAAACACAACATACTATTTGTGGATTAAAAATTTTTGAGAAGCAAAACCTAATGGAGTCCAAAATTACATTAAGATAACTTAAGCATGAAGACTTAAGAAGATGTTAAAGGAATCAACAAACAACAAATAAAATACAACACAACAACAACAGAAAAAGAAAGCATTGAAAATCATTAGTGATTAGTCAGACCAGAGGTTTTCAAATTAAAGTGGTTTACTGATTAAGATGTTGTTATTCTCAATAAGATGACTGTAAAATAAAAAATGAAATGGTTAACATGAGGTATAGGGTAAACAGTCTTCCACAAAAGGTAAAACGCACAGGATCTTTTTAGTAAATGTAAGTTTCCAAATTGTGGCACACTGAGTATTAATAGATGCATCTGATTTAAAAGCTCAAGCATTAGAAAGAAAATTCATACTCTTGCCCTAAATAAATGCCAACTGAACAGGAGGAGATTAAATGTTAATTAATAATTTTCTTTGTAAACCAACAGTACTTTAATAAAATAAATTTTTTAAAAATAATTATAATTTTCTACATATTTCCAAAGAACAAAATAGCCATCTTGAGGCTAATTCCAGGACCAAGGTAAATGTTATCTAATTTCCTTTCCTTGGTTTACAGAACTATCAGGTAGCTGATACCTCAGCTAGTAATGAAAGAAAGATTTAAGTCTTTCAACCGAACGAGTTGCTGGTAAGTGGAAAGAGAAATAATTCACATATTTAGCCTGATGTGTGCTTCTATCATTTAAAAATCCCTACCTGGGACTTCCCTGGTGGTGCAGTGGTTAAGAGTCCACCTGCCAATGCAGGGGACATGGGTTCGAGCCCTGGTCCGGGAAGATCCCACATGCCGCGGAGCAACTAAGCCCGTGTGCCACAACTACTGAGCCTGTGCTCTAGAGACCACAAGCCACAACTACTGAGCCTGAGTGCCACAACTACTGAAGCCCGCACGCCTACAGCCCACGCTGCTCAACAAAAGAAGCCACCACAATGAGAAGCCCATGCACCACAATGAAGACCCAACATAGCCAAAAATAAAATTAAAAAAAAAAAAAAAAAAAAATCCCTACCTGACACAAAAGAAAACCACAAAATACACCAAAAAGCAAACCATGCATACCCAGTTCACGAATAGGACAATTCATGAAGATGTCAATTACCCTATTCCATCCATAAATACAACAAAACTCCAATTAAAAGAAACTAACAGGATTCTTTCCAAACCTAGACAAACTGATTCTAAAGTTCAATTATAAAACAAACAAACAAAACTCGCCAAGAAAACTCAGACAGAATAATAAGCAGGCATGAGCCTTAATAAAATTTATTTTATTAAAATACATTTAAAAACCATAGTATTTAAAAGAACGCAGCGTTGGGACATGAGTAAACATGTTGATGCAACAGAAGACAAAGTCCAGAGATAAATCTAAATTCACGGAGGAAGTAGTAATGTGATAGAGTTGTAACTGCCTATCAGTGGGAGAAACAGTTATCTAATGAAAGGTATCCGGATAATTAGGTAGCTTTGACAGACCCTCTCGGTTGCTTCCCTGGGTGAATCATCCCCTTTCTTTCTTGCCCACATAGCCAACACTTTGCTGGAGAATCAGACTACACTGTACAGGATGTTCTGGGAAGGCAGGCTCAACTCCAGGGGAGGAACTTCGATTGGTCAGCACCACGTCGACTGGCCATTCCACCGTGTTGCCAACAACTGGCTTGGAGGTGGTCATGTGACCAAGTTGTGGCCAATGAAATGTGAGAAGCCTGCCTCTCTATCCTTCCTATTTTGGATGCGAGATGATGGGTAAAACAGTCATCTTGGGATCGTAAAGGGGAAGCCAAGGAAATCAAAGAAGTTCACCCAGATTCATCAAGCCTGAAACTACCAACCTCTAACATTCTTACTATGGCAGATAATAAACCCCTATTATTTTAGGCACTTGTAGTCACTCTGTTTCTTGCAACCAAAGCGTCCTGATTCAACAACCAGCTGAAGAGAAAAAAAAAAAAAAAACTGATTTGGGTCCTGACACCTCACTCATGACTCTCAAAATATCCAAGTGTGATACAAAACCCAGCAGCCACAAAAGAAAACGGTGAAAAATTCTACATATAAAGATAAATTCTATATTAGATAAACACCGAAAACAGAATGCAAAAAATTACTGACAACCTGTAGGAAGATTGAGAACGCCTACCACAAAGACTAATTTCTTTAAGTTCAGGAGGCATTTCTTTTTCTGTGAACTTTACCACTAAATATCTAGCACATTGTTCTTTCTTCTTTTTGATCTGTTAAGAGCTGAGACACGTAACATAAAAGTCTGTCCTGGGCCATGGATGCTATGCAGAAGCTGCCGAGGACAAAACAAAACCCACTCTGGAGAACATGCCCTCAGCCCCGTCGAACAAAGGATACTCACAGATAAAGCACCAGCAAGGATGAGGTCACAATCCCAAAGCACGCACACACACAACCACAAAGGAGCGAGCAGGGGCTCAACGAAGTCGGACTAGACCTTCAGGAACCTCAGAGATGAGAGTTCCGACAGACCACAACATCCACAGCAGCACAAAGCGCTCGCTAAGCACATGAGGGAGGCAAGTGTGAGACGTGGCCTCTGCAGCAAAAAGAACGTAGCATCTGGTAGAAAGACTCAACGCCGGAAAACGGTCAATCCCAGGTGAGGCCCAGGGAGCCGGCAGGGGGAGAATGTGGGCACAGCAGGGTCGTGGCAGTGCGTCTGCCCCTCACCCTGCCTCTTCCCTGCAGTCGCTCACCTGCGCTCAGGTGCAGCTACGAGCTGCCCGGAGCCCGCACTTGCTCCTACTCGGCCCATCGGTCCCAGACCTGCTTCCTGGCTGAGGGACGCCTGATGCTGACGGTGACACCTGGCAGCTGGTACAGCGCCTCCCTGCGCCCAGCCCTGCTGCCTGCTCCCACCCATCACCCTTTCTCCCCTCATCTCCCTTGGGCTCAGACATCGGCCCATCTGCTCCGCCTCCACCTGTGTCCCTGGCACGGCGGGTGCGGGGACAGGGGACTGGAGGGGGCAGGGCTCAGACTGGCACTGCCTTGATTGCGAGGAGGGGGGAAGGACAGTCAAGGTGCAAGAGAGACCCTGACGTTTGCACCCTTGGACTTCCAAACAGCACAGTGTAATTCACCTCGTGGTTTCTAAATTAAAAGCTAAGTTCCAACGCCCCACATTCATCTCGGCATCATTTTCCATGTCCCCTTCTGTCTCATGGTAAAGCTCACCTTTGGCAAAGGTTTCTGGAAGGCCTGCATCGCCAGGAGCAGAGGTGCCGCCGTCGTCCAGTTATAGTACCTGACACGAAACAACAACAAAGATGTCAGAAGACCAAGGCTCAGACTGAAAACCTCATGTCCTGAGAAGCAGTCGTGGAAGGCTCTGGAACCCCAGCTGGGTCCTTAAAGAGCCCACGACTGTGGCCAGCACCCCGGCCCGGCCCCCCCACATGCCCCGCCCTTGCAGGAGCCCCTTCTCCATCAAACCCACAGCGGCCACGGCCGTCTGGCACGACACACGGCGTGGCGGGCGACCAAGAGGCCAGCTGAGAGCAGCCCTCACCCCGCAGCGCATCAACCACCAACGCGCTGGGGCGTTTCTTGCCACCTTTCAAGGAAAAGGAAACTAGGACCCTCAGTTAACGCATAAACGTCCATGGCTTCCTCTTGGAGAGAAAAGTTTGCCAACAGTCTGTAAAAACACGTGCACGCCCCTTGACCCTAGACAACGAAGCTTTCACAGGGTGTGTGCACAGTCTATCATGCAACACCCGCGCATCATACGGGCCGAGCCCCACGGGCCAAGGTTGTGACATCACACCTCCCATCATAAAATCTCATGCAGGTGAGTGTAGACGCCCCGGGATCCAGTTATGTCAACGCTCTCGCTATATGGTGACACAGCATTTTGCCAAGAGTGACACAGCATTTTGCCAAGAGTGAAGAGACAGTAGTAGACTTTTAACAAAGACTTAATTTCATATATTTCCAAGAGCTATCGTCCAGGTCTCTAGAGTTGAGAAACTGAAGCTGAAGCATTATCACACGACAGCTGAAACGACTTTCGGGAGGAACTTACTTATTCCCGATCTTCACCACAAGATTGGGGTCGTCAATGAGGGCAGGGTTGTCCACAAACTGCTGATATGACACGGCTTGTTCCAAAAACGCATCTGCGAAAGCAAGCATAGGGAAAACATAAGGAAAATTTGGTTCAAAAACCAGGCCTGTTTTTCAGTCGCTCATGTTTACAGCTATTTTGAGAGTTTATACATTCCAACTGTGCAGACAATCCTAAAAAATCTATTTGCAAAGGGGGCTTCCGTTAGTTTGGGGGCAGTGTCTGCACATAAATGGAGGGAGGTGGGGCGTTCGGAGGATGGGGGACAGGCTGGCCCTTAATCAGTGCACACGCGCTTACGTGGCAGCAGGCGTGTGGGACCACGGTAAACACACGTGTCCGCAGAAGCAGACGACCGGGGAGCAGGGCTCAAGGTCCGGCCACCCGGGTTTAAGTCACAGTCACTGGTGTGACCTTGGGCAAGTGATCCACCTGCCCAAACCTCAGTTCCCTCACGTGTAACGTGGGAATAGGAACCTCGCCTACCCCCTCGGTAGTCGTGAGGATGAACAAGTCACAAATGAAAGCGTGGTGACCTGCCTAAGGCACGTTGGGGGTGGGAAACACCCAGGGCCACCAGGGCCAGGAATCATCAGCTGGAATGGCTGACTGCATCGACTGGGGGTCTCAGGGCCACCTCACCACATAACTGGCATAAGATGCTGGGACACCACTGTTATAAGTAGGGTGCGTGCCCCCTTCGGATGCAGCCGGGATGTGTCCCAGCACTTGCTCAGACATCCCTCCCTCCTCCGGCACTTCTGCACACTTGCAACGTACTGCGTTTTCCCCGTGTTGACGCTGCCGCCCTGGGACACCCCTGCAGGACGGGCACACGCTGTGCTCGGCGGGCACCTGCTGTGCTCTGCAAGCACACTTGACGACCCGTGACCCCAGTGGCTTTGCTGTCGTCTGGAGCCACGTGTGACCCACAGAACCCTGAGGTCAGCCAACCGCCAGGCAGCAACGTTCGGGTCCTGAGGAACAGTGGGTCACGCGTCCTCCACTAACCGGGCCAGAGACCATCGCCTGTGACCTGAACGCATTCTAAGAGCCCAGGCTTCGAGCCGTTCCCACCAGAGGCCACCAGGGGGCGCTCTTGGCTTGAGCCCGGCTCCCGGACGGTACCTTTGGTGATCTCCCTGTTGTCGCTGAGGCCGCCGCACAGGGAGATGGCGATGGACGGCAGGTCCCTCAGGCTGTCCGAAGTGCTCTCCATGCCACTGTCAGCGCCAGAGCTGCCCACGGACTGCGGGGATTGGTTGGCTGAGCGGGCTCCGTTGTCGCTGGCGTGTTTTGTGAGCCCAGAAGGGTCTCCGCTGGAAGCAGAAGAGTGGAGCGGGCTGTGAGTTCTCACATGGATATCAAGGGGCTCTGGCAATCAGAGGAGCCAATGATTTCATCCCAGGACAGACTTTCATTCAGGCACCATGACAAAGACAGACAAGCTCAGTGAACGACCTCAGGAGGGAAGACGGTCGTTTTTGGCCTCTACGTCTCCCTGCACCCTCTCCCAGACACACTGAAACCGACGGAAGAGAAAGCACGCTGTCCTAAGAGGCCACAGTCCTCTGCTACATGCTCCGAGGATCTGGCCCTCCCTGCAAATCACGGGAGAACTGAAGATGGGCCCCCAATGGCCACGGGGGACTCTCCCCTGGGGAGGGACAGGGCCACACAGCTGCCCGCTCTTTGCCACTGATTCGGGCTGCGGGCCACTGACCACTGCGACACCACCCTGGTGCCATCGGGGAGGTGACCTCGTGCCTGCATTCCTGCTCAGATGCCACCCGGGGACACACCCACCCACTCACATCTACACAGAGGGTCCACTGCTTTCATTGGTTTCTTCTCACAGTAAAACGTGAGCCTCCTGCGGCCTTTTCTTACTCACTTTCTAATCAAATGTAAGGAAAAAGCGGACTCCCGGATTAATATTCAGATTACAGAAAATGATATGAAGAATAAAAAGGATTGTTACTTTTTGGGAAAATACAGGGCAGCGACTTCAGGATCCATGTCTGTGAGGTCATCCAAGTAGACGCCGTCGGCACCAAGGTGTCTGCTCCGTTTGTCTAAAACAGCAAAGGGGTCAGATCAGAGCACCGTTCTCCAGAGACAACCTCGTGGACTTCTGAGTGTCTCCAGAAAGGGCACTTGAGCAGTGTGCAGATGTGCTCAGAAGTGCCCAAACTGCAAGAGACCCAAGAGCTAGAAGCCAGCGGCACACCGTCGCCACCGAGGCCGACGGCCCAGGTTCGCATGTGGCTCCCACCCTCGCCAGCCGTGTGGCCTGGGCCGGTCGCCTAACTTCGCTGAGCCTCAGCTCCCCAGCTGGGAAGGACCTGAAGAGTACTAAGCGCTCAATATCCTGACACGATGACTATTGGTATTATTATTGGTATTAATGGCATTGGTTTTGTTGTTATTATTATTACTAAACAATAACGCTTTCATTAAGCACTTCCTCATCAAGACTCTGAAGCACAGTACCCTAATGAGGGTACCATCGGCCCCTGGGCACCATGACTGCAGCCTTCCAGTTTACTTCTGCTGGAGAATTATGTCACTGGTTCATACAAACCTAGAACACTGCACAAAGCCACACGGCTAACAGACAGGCTTAATGTCATTCCTCCAGACAGGCAACCAGGTGGCCATTCAGCTATATGTAAGGAGCCCCCACTACGTGCCAACCACTATTCTAAGTACCATGGAAACAGGTAAACAGACCAAAAAGATTCTTGACCTTGTAGAGCACATATGTTCTAGTAGGGAAGTCAGGCAAAAAAAGAAACAAATGGTCATTTGAAATAGTGACACACAGTACGCAGAAATTAAAACAGGATAATGCACTAGAGAGAAACTAGGGGCAAGGGGAGAGGGGCACAGATTAGCTTAGTCATCGACGTCTTGTGCAGTCCCAGCGTGTGCTGGACCCCAGCACCCCTGACCTGCACAGGGCGGGGCTCACCACACCATCCCCGAGGCCTCCTTCAGGCCGGATTTTCTATGACTGAATTCTGAGAACTCACATATTCAGCAAAAGGCTACGGACCGAACAGGAGAGATGTCCTGAAGCACCCCGAACTTTGGGGGGAAGAAGCTGTAGTTTGCCGAGCCCCAAGTTCGCAGGAGGGAGCTGGGAAGCGCCGGCATTCTCACCCTTTTTCCTAGAAGGCGAATCCGTCTTGCTGGCTGCCGGGGCAGCGCTGGCGGAGAGGGCTTTGGACTCTTCGATCGTAGGCAACGGGGGCGCTGCGGCTCCTAAGGCCTCAACATCTTCTTCGTTTGCGAACTGAATCTCCGTCTGCAGCTTGTTCTGCTCCAACAGCGGCTGCACGGGAGACGCCCCAGCCAGTGTCGGTGACTGGTCACTAAACGCGTCTGAAGATTCACTGTGGATGGCTTGAAAGTGCATCTCATCACAGACTTTTCTACTGTTCAGCAGGCTGGACTCTTTCATCTTGTGTGCAGATGACTAGATCAAAGGGGCAGGGAGGGAGAGAGAAGGTCAGAGAGAAACTGAGTCACCAAAGAACAACCGGGCAGGCAAGGATCTCCAGAGCCAAGCCCACACTTGGCAGGACACGGTGAAGCTTCAGGAGTCACCTGGTGATTCCGTACCTGCCGAGAGGTCTGGAAACCAAGGACAGTACTTCCAAAGTGAATGAACTTTCACAGAAAACATCAACTACCAAAGAGTAGTGAGTGAGATTATCAACGGAACGCAAACGTCCAGCAGGAAAATGGGAAGTGTGCTCACACCACAGGGCGTTTGCAGTAATAAGAATAACAAGTGAATTACGATTACACCCAACAACATGATGAATCTTGCAAAACTAATCTCTGCTGTTAGAGTCAAGACTGGGTTTATCCTGGGGGTTTTCGGGGGGGGGCAGTCAGTTGGAACAGTACCTGCAAAGGGTCGGAGGCTTTCCAAGTTCTGATTTAGCCCCACTTCCTGGTCTGGGTGCAAGTCACGTGGACACATTCACAGTGTGAAAATTTACTGATCTCAGCACTTAGGATCTGGGTATTTCTCTGCCCGTGCGTTATATTTCAACGAAGCCTACCCCCCCCAAAACGTGAATGAACAAGGGCAGACTTGGTGGCTGGTTCACATGAGTGGGAAATTAGCATTTCTGTCTCTATCTCTCCAAGGGGTTTCCAGTTATGGAAAAGATTTATCCAAACAGAAACCGAAATGCAATTTGTGGGCCAGAAAGTGGGGAGAGGGTATGCATTTCTGTATCTGATCCCACAGCTTCGAACACAAATGGAAACAATGCAACAGCGGATCTGTGGCCGGAACTGTTTTGCCAGAAGTGATGGGTTTGCACTTTCGTGCCGTTTCTCCAGCAACAAACGACGTGAATTTGTAAAGATGGTTGGCTGGGTCAGCACTACCACTTGTGGGCAGAGAAGTCAGCATTTTCCGTGAAAGTTAAATAACCTAGAAGGCGAATTAACCCCCAATTCCAGCCTCAACAGACCTAGTCTCCAAAGAGCTGCCCTTCTTGAGTCATAATAGGAATACTTTCCATCTTCACTCACTCACTCATTCATTTATTCATATCACAAAGATTTACTGGGGATACAAGAGGCTGTAGCATCTTCCAAGGATCTTACAATATTATTAAAAAAAAAAAAAAAAGCCCCAGCTTGCGATATAATAATATAATTCAAGGTTCTTGTAACACATTGGAATATGAAATAAAATTTCTTGAAAGAAAGAACTGTGCCCATTACATGTTTTTCGAAACTACCTTCGGTGCATGGCAGAATTGAGAGGGCGGCGGGCGGGGGGGAACTTACCTTTGCGGCTTGGGGCAATTCTCCCCAAAGCCAGAGCATTTCTAGATTATCCTTTTGCATTGTCCTGTCCACAGACTTGCTGACCAATTCCGAATCACTTTTAGGTGTTGAAGGTCGGGAAACTGAAGGACTTAAGAAAACACAAATGCATGATTAAAGTGGGAAGGGAAACTTTTAAAACTTGTTTTTGGCCCAGAATTCTAGGGTTCGGGAGAGCCCAGAAAAATGTACCCAACCCGCCACTGCCTTATGTCCACGGCTTCATGACTATCCCCTCTGTGGCCACCAGGGGTCGACAGAACACGCACCAAGGGGGAAGGTGCTCCCAATTTGCGGAGCCCTGTCCCAACCTGCCGCCAAATTCCAAGTAAGTAAAGATGAAAAGAAGGAGCATTTAAAAGGGGAAGTTGGAAAAAAGAGAGATGAAACGGGAAACTGATCATGGGCCAACTTTACCACAAATGCCAGATGCCACCCATAACTCACTAACGTGGCAGGGACCTCCAAGCTGAGATTTTGTAAAATATTATATCTTCCAAGAATACTTCAAAGATTCCTATTTGCTAAGCTCTTCCTGCAACAACACATCACGATGCTTAATTCTCAGACCAGCTTTTAAGTGGCTGTAACTTGGGTTTGCCTCTCTGCGTTTTCTACATTTTCATTCCTGAGCCCTGAGCCGTCATACCTCTGTCCAAGCACAGAAACCACCAACATATCTACAGAGTTCTCACAGCCTTCTAAACAACAACCGGATGAGAAGACCCATTTAATTATCTCTGATCTTCCATCTCCTGCACCATTTCCTCTAAGATGACAGTTTTAAATGATGTGAGAAAGAAAGCCCCTGCAATTTTCCTTTTGCACCTTCTCTCACAGACCTCACACAGTCTCCCCTAAGTCACCTCTCATCCATGTGCTTGGTTTCATTTATCTGTTCAAGTTAGATGTCAGCTCCAAGGGAACAGAACTTTCCTGCCAGGACAAGGAGAGCCCGTGGATGACGCACAGCCATGTTTCAGACAAACAGGGACCCTGAATGGCTAAACTGCTCCTGGCTCTCTTTAGTCCAGCCATTCGGACAAACAGACTAAATGCTGCTTCTCTCCATCGTTTCACACTGAGGCGGACGCTGGCTGGTTCCTCCTCCGTGGGCACCCGCTACCCTCCACCCATGTCAACGGCACGTGGCAGCCCTCGGGCTCCGCTTGGCCAGTCTGCGGAGAGGAGGACCCTGAGATAGCATACCGTGGGCGTGTAAACAATGGAACACCTCTACACGCATGAGCGTAAATGCACGTGCACACACACACACATACACACACACGCACTCGTGCCCATAAGGAAGGAGTCCCCCAAGAAGGAACGCTGGGCCCTCCAGATATCTGAGAGGTGAAGCATTCATCACCTCCGATCTGTCTTGCTTCCTCTAATTTCCTAAGTCTGCTTTTCTCCAAAGGGTCAATGCTTTTCTGGCACCGAAGTATCCAGAATTACACGTTCAGCATCAGTGACATGTGCAAATGGAGCGCTGTGGCCTCCAGCGAGGGGCCTTTGTGCCGACAACTGTGACCTGGGTCATTCTTTCTCCAGAGGCATCACGGGGGAAAATCCATCGTAACTGGCTTCCGACCCTCATCGGCACTGCACCCAAACCTCAAATCATTTGTTTGAAAAGAACACAATTTATTTATATTTTGTTATAAATTCTTTGGAACAATACATTGTCTTACCCACCGCACAAAATTAAGTCAAGCCCTTTAGACTGAGCCTGCTCTGGAGACAGGTGTTGGCAAACGTTTTCTCTAAGATGCCAGGTAGCAAGAATTCCAGGCTGTGTGGGTTATGTGGTCTTTGCAGCAACTACTCAATTCTGCCCTGCGGTGCAAAGGCAGCCACAGGCAATATATGGACAAACTGGCCGTGCCCCATAAAACTTTACAGAAACAGAGGGTGGGCCGGACCGGGGCCACGGGCTGTAGTTTACCAAACCCCACTCTAGAAGAATGCACACACTGAACACGGCTCTCTGTCACCCCGCTCAACTCCAGAATCCCTAACATTCTGATCCTGTGATAAAAGCTACAAGCCATACGGTTTCCATAGAGGCATGCAGGTGGGCAAATTCATATTCACAAAGGACCCAGCCCTGTGTGAGCCATAAGCTAGACGTGCCACCTCTCACATTCACTGTGCCACTACAATAAACGCTGGCCCCCAGGCCGCACCAGCCTCTCGGAAGGATGCTGCACCCAAATACGTGAGCACAGTCTGCGCTGCTTGTTGAGAGAATTCAGACCGACAGAAGATGAATTAGGAAAAAGACTCCCAATGCTGACTGTGATCGATGAGAAAGATGGTTCCAAAATTTCTAATACGATTACCAAATATTAGACTTTTAAGATAAGGGTTGTTCAAAAAAGTAAGCTTCAAGGTCACTGGTTGATTTTCATAACGAATGCAGTTATTAGCCATAATAGTTTTCAGCATTTTTCCTGAAATCCCAATCAGGGACATCCGTTATAACTGCTCACAACTTAGCTGACCTCATTTGAAAGTGGCCTTTCTTCTGCACAGTAAGCTGTGAGTGAAGTACGTCCTGAGATTGGGTTCTTCAATCAAAAAGAAAAACAGTTTCCCAGGTAGAAGTTAATCACAGCTTCTCTGTTCAGGTTTCTAAAGAAAACCCTGTAAGTCTACAAAGCAGGCAGGTCAAAGCGTGGGCAAAGTTGAGGGAATGGAGGCAGAAATCTAAGGCCTCTGCCTCAGATGAAGACTCTAACCTAGGATCCCAAACCTTCAAGTCCATCCTATGCTATTCTCCAAAATTCTATGCTACAAATGCTGTGGAAACATCTGATTATATTACGCAGAAAATCTATAAGCTATTTTTTTTTAGGAATTTTTTTTTTTTTTTGATGTAGGCCATTTTAAAGTCTTTACTGAACTTGTCACAATATTGCTTCTGTTTTATGTTTTGGTTTTCTGGCCGTGAAGTGTGTGGGATCTTAGCTCCCCGACCAGGGACTGAACCCACACCCCCTGCCTTGGAAGGTGAAGTCTTAACCACTGGACCGCCAGGGACGTCCCGGAAGGTCCATAAGCTATTTACTGAGTTATAATAATAACTCTCCTTATGCTTAAGCAACATCTTAAAAAAGGTCTCGTAAACTTATTTGTTGAACAACCCCAGACACAAAACAGAGATCATATTCCCAATTTTCAATGCATTGTTGTATTTTTCAAAGCACTTCACAAAATTAGAAAGAATTATATGCGTGACCCTAATTTCCAGAGAGTTAAATTTAGTACTTAAAAAAAAAAAAATCTAACCACAGACAAATGCTTAAAATGAAAGGAAAAGTAATAATCTATACGTATTTTCTTCATAAGTGATTTGGTTAGTTGGTAAAATAGATTGGTAAGAGTTAAATCTACATTTTCACTTCATAGAATCTATATGTATTTTCCACATAAGTAATTTGGTTAATAGCAACACACAGTTCTAGGAGTTAGATCAAAGTTTTTATTATCAAAGACATCCACGGTGGGAAGATAACCCAATCTACCTTTCCGAAGCGTGGAAGTGGGAAGACTGTGGAGGGCAAGAACTAGAAAGACCGCCCTCGGCCGCAACGGCCAGACGAGGGGGGCTCCCCCTGCAATCTGTCAGGCTACTGGATGCCACGTGATCCACATTCAAGGAGAGAGAAATCACAGGTCAATTCAATTAAACAAAATTTCTTATCAATTATTTGGCTCCTCTCCACGCTAACATCTTTAAGAAAGTGAAGGTACTTGGGCATCGAACAATAGCAGAGGATCACATGTTGAAATCACTAAGAAATCAACATGAATCTTCTGAGCCACAGAAGCAGGACACTGCCAAGACACACATTTCACTTTCTATTTCAACCATATGCCCATAAACGCTTGCTTTTCTTGGGTCAGAATTTAGTGCCTAATCAAAGGACTTACTCCAAAAGGCTGGATAATTTGGGCTGGTAACTGTCTCTTAAAAGAAAACACATAAACCCAAGTATGGAAATGTATCTATTTATCCTAACTTGTAATTGCATTTAACAGTGGCCAGATCACTTAATCTGACGTGGTCATTCTTCTAGATTCACAGAGCCAAACATGAAAGACAGAGAAACATATTCAAGATTGTGTTTAAAACATTTGTTTAAAATGCTTAAAATCAGAGTGTTGGAACAGATTTTTCTACCTATTAGTGGTTTCTAAATATTCCACATCATTTTCTTCCTAAAAGTACTGTGTTTTTTCCCTCAGGGTTTAACTCCACAGGCCTAGGGAGAGAATGCACAAGGCTCTAGAAAGGTCTTACACCTGCACTGTCCAATATGATAGCCATGGGCCTGCATGTGGCTACTGAGCATTTGAAATGTGACTGGTCCAAACTGAGATGTTCTGTACATATGAGACACACGGCTCCAAGGCCTATGAAAATGAGAAATTGAAACAGCTCAATAATGTTTTAAAAAACTGATCACCTGAAATGACAATATTTCGGATATACCAGGTCATTGAAATAGATCATCAAAATTAATTTCATCAGTTTCTTTTCATTTTTTAAGGATGGTTACTAGAAAATTTTAAATTACATATGTAGCTAGCATTATGTTTCCACTGGACAGGGCTGGCCTGAGGACAGACAGACCCCCATGAGGGGACTCCACAGGCCCCCAGCCCCACCTCGGCTGACGAACATTCACTGTCACGGTCCCGGCTAGAAACCAGGCATGTGATGCATCCATTTTTCTCCAACCTCAACTTCAGCACACAGCACTGACCATGCCATCTCATTAATGAGATTACTCAGGTCAAACTGGAACCGGGAGTGGCGTCTATGTGAGCCTGGCTTCAGATGGGAAGCCCTGCAGCACGTGCCAGGGCTTAGGGGCTCCGAAACCTCCCCTTTACACCAGAAGCAAACCTAACACGTTAGAGGCACGAGTAACCTAAGGATGTCGCTGTCACTTAGATCAGTGCTTCCCAACCTCTTTTCTATTCTCACCACACCTCCGGGACCTTTTTCCCCAGTAGCCCTCCCTCCACCATGAAATTGTAATGCCATGGATATACTATGTATCTGCTTATGTACTGTGGCCCTTTGGAGGCTACACACTATTATAATATCTAAGATTTTTTTGCCACCCCAGAACCAAGTTGTGTCCTGACAGGGGTGATATTATCCCTGCTGAGAAGGCACGCTTCAGTTCTGTCCCCTCCCCAGTCCTGAAAACTACTCAGAAGGGCTCACATATCCTCACAGATTTCACAGGCTTAAAGGCTTTAGAGTCTTCCCTGCACACCGAGCAGCTCTGGTTCTCCAAGTTGATACAGGAAGTCTAGGGCCCCTTGAGAGCTCAGTTCAGGGAAATCAATATTCGTAAACACAGCAAGGGAAGAAGGCCTCATTCTCACAGCCCCGAATGACCGCGGGGGCCCCTGAAGCAATCTCTTTGCTCTTGAGTCCCATTTCAGGGCTCAGTATCCAGAAAGGCTCTGTCACCTGTCTGCTCCTGTTGACAATTAGCTTTATGTAACTTAACAAGTGGTTGGCCTTTCAGTGTCTCCTGGGGAAGCTAAGAGCCATATCTGTAGTTCCATTTTGCTATTAGATAGAAGTTTATGATCTGTACATTCTCTGGTTTTAATCCTGATCTGTACCTCTTACTCTAAACTGTGTTTTTTCCAGTCCTACTTTGTTTCATTTTTTACTTAGATTTCACCATTTTATTAAACATGTTTCCTGTAACTGACTTGGAATCCTCTGGACCAGGACAGGTGAACACACACGTACACACACCAGCCACTCACCTGGTGCTAGGTGACCACTCTCTGTCGGAATTCGGGTAAGATGCTGACTGAGGGTAAGTCATGACTGGGGAAAGGTTTTCCTTAGGGATATCTCCTTGGAATGGAGGTATATCATTACAAAGAGTTCTGGAGACCAAAAAAAAAAAAAAAAAAAAACAAAGTCAAAGAATTATTAGTGATAGATTCATAATAATGGCAAGTTTCCATTTTTTCCTTGATTATCGCTAATACTTCATAGATTAACATGATCTCCTTTTAAACTACCCCGGCGGGACTTCCCTGGTGGCACAGTGGTTAAGAATCCGCCTGCCAATGCAGGGGACACGGGTTCGAGCCCCGGTCCGGGAAGATCCCACATGTCGCGGAGCAACTAAGCCCACGCGCCACAACTACTAAGCCTGCGCTCTAGAGCCTGCGAGCCATAACTACTGAGTCCATGTGCCACAACTACTGAAGCCCATGCGCCTAGAGCCTGTGCTTTGCAATAAGAAAAGCCACCTCCATGGAAAGCCCATGCACCACAACGAAGAGTAGCCCCTCTTGCCGCAACTAGAGAAAGCCCGCATGTAGCAACGAAGACCCAATGCAGCCAAAAATAAATAAATAAATAAGATTTTAAAAAATAAAATAAATAAACTACCCAGGCATATTCCAGGCACATTCCAGGACAGGAATGGACAGGAAAAAAGTGACTCAGAGAAATGTTTTGTGTGCTCATGCTTTGGCTGAATTATAAATGTAAAGTGATTTTGTTCAAGAATTGGGATTTAGACATGGGCTCGATGACCACACTGCTTCTTACTTACACTGTAGGTAGGGCCTACGGAGTTGTCTTTCGCATTTCATGTAGGAAAATCCTGAGAGGTAGATTGGGCCCAAAACTGTACCCACAGGGTACAGTTAATAAAACTGTTAAGAGTTAATAAAACTCTTGCCATGTACGAGTGAGCTACCAAATCCCTGTATGGCCGTACACAGATAATGTTTCGTCCAGCAGAATTAAATAAATGTCACAACCAATCGTAGTCTTATAATTATGAAATGGTTGCAAATCTACCTCGTTTCAGGTATAGCATGCTCAACGAAATAGGATTCACTATTTCACTCACGCAGAGGCCACTGGTCTCTATTTTTGGATGTTATCTGGAATACCTAACACTAAGTTCTGGAACTAAAAGCCACACAGGGAAGGTGACTGTAATAAACCCAACCACCCAGTTTCTGAGCCCACAGCGGATCAGAGGCCACAGTTAGGAAAATCGACGTTGCCAATGTGCCTTTATTTTTAGCCAGGAAAAAAAATTCTATTCTAAATAACAAAGCAGAGGTTAATCCTGATGTTCCTTCTCCCTTTTTTTTTTCAATTGAAGTATAGTTAATTACAAGGTTATGTTAGCTTCAAGTGTACAGCAAAGCGATTCAGTTATCCATCCTTCTCCCTTTTGTGTCAACAAGACACAAAAACAATGAGCAAAAATTACACCGAATTACATAAAAATATGAAACATCAAATATTCTTTACAAATGTTGTGGCTTTTAAAAATGGCATTTTTCACCAAAAAAGTAATACCCAGAAACAGCATTCCGCCACACTATTAAAAGCAAAGAAAAAAAAACAACAGGTGTCCATTCAACTTTGGGTCTCATCAAAACTGAAAAGTCTGCTTGTGGAGAAACCGGTCATGTTCTACATTTACCTGTGGCCCTAAGTCTATAACAGATCGGCCTCCAGCTATCTATCAGCCCAACTGCCGGGCTCACAGGTGGTGCTCAGAGGTGGTGTTTCAGAACCCGCTCAAGCGGGTTCTGAAACAACGGTTTCGTGCATGAAGTATTCATTTGCTGAGCTCCTGTTTCTTGTTTCTGATCTGGAAAGCTGGAGTTATCACCAAGAATGTTACCAATCGTCTCTCTGTCACAAGCTACATCCCATCTTTATGCTACTTTAGAATCGGGCCTACAGGATTCCAAAATTCAGTCTCAAATGCATTAACAGAAGAGTAAGAAATTCTGGGGGAAAAAAAGTTTATAAGAATAATCCTACCACAATCCCACTGCTGGGCCAATATATGGAGAAAACCACAATTCGTAAAGATACCTGCACCCCAATGTTCATAGCAGCACTATTCACAACAGCCAAGACATGGAAGCCACCTAAATGTCCATCAGCAGATGAATGGATAAAGAAGATGTGGTATATATATATATATATATATATATATATATATACATATACACATAATGGAATATTACTCAGCCATCAAAAAGAATGAAACAATGCCATTTGCAGCAACATGAATGGACCTAGAGATCATCAAGCTAAGTGAAGTAAGCTAGACAGAGAAAGACAAATATCATATGAATCACTTATACGTGCAATCGAAAAAAAAAAGATACAAATGAAACAGACCCACAGACATACAAAACAGAAATAGACCCACAGACATAGAAAACAAACTTATGGTTACCAAAGGGAAAAGGGGGGAGGGATAAATTAGCAGTTTGGGATTAACAGATACACACTAGTATAGACAACATAGATAAACCACAAGGACCTACTGTAGAGCACAGGGAACTCTAGTCAATATTCTGTAATAACTTATAAGGGAAAAGAATCTGAAAAAGAACAGGTATATACATATATATATATGTATATTAAAAAAACCGATTCACTCCTGTACACCTGAAACTAACGCAACATTATAAATCAACTATACGTCAATTTTAAAATAAATAAATAAATAAAAGGATCATCCTAAACAATGAATTCGCCCAGTTCTAGCTGAGGCCCTGCCTTTCACCCACACTTACCTACTGCTGTCCTGCAGCTCGTCCGAGCTCATCTCTATGGGGAACATGTCTTCATCCTCGGACGTGTTCGTGTTGTCGTCCCGCTTCAGGCTGTCCAGCTGCAACTTCCTCCTCCTCTTCCTTCGCTTCTTCACTAAAGAGCCACTTGAAGGGGTCTCGCTGGGAGGTAAGACCTGCGCTGACGTGTTGGGGTCCAGGCTTCTCATCCAATCTACGGAGCTCCTCTTCAGCTGGGACTCCATCCTCGAGGCTCCTTCCGACAGGATCGGGGAGGTGGCCAGGTGCACGGGGATCACCTCCTGAAAGACAGAACACATTTCCGAGAAGGAGCGTTGTTAGTTGGGGTTTAAGGAGCCAGTGGTGCCCACGACTCACCAGTGCTCACTCCGGAGCCCAGGCACGGGGGGCAGTGGGGAGCACAGGGCGGTCACGGCGATCTGCAGACGCGGCTGCCGAATTTGACAGGTGGTCATAAAGTCGACAAGTCGCTAACTGCCATTTTGTACTGAATCCTGCGTTTTCGTAATTATAACAAAGTGAGGTAATTATCAGTTATTTCAGGCTACCAAAATTCCACTTGGTCTGAAATTTCCAGGGTAAAGAGGAAAAAATGGGCTTGGAGTCATCACATTACCCTGGGAACTGGACTCCGTTTTGCACTCGTGTGTGTGTGTGTAAGAGAGAATGTGTGTGTGTTTTTAACATGCACTGAATTAGGATAATAATAATTTTTAAAGAGAACATCTGACAGTGTCCCCACACCGTGCCCCAAGTGCCCACCTGCACCAGGGCACACCTAGGTATGCGGCCGTCAAGTGATTAGGTACTGACCCTCTTCTCTACAAGAAAACAAAAATAACAACAACCAAAAAGAAAAACCTCCACCGCCTGTCAATTTAATAGTTGTTTTATGATGATTCACCAGTTCTTAAAAAAACTATAGCCATCATTTTATTATCAAATGACTCATTTCTTATCAGAAACCTGGTAACAGGTAGTAAAAAATAGGGTTCCACCTCTGATGAGCTATGTGATCTTGGGCAGAGTCACTTAACTTCTGAGTCTGTTTCCTTCATCAGAAAACTGGAAATGATAATCCCGACCTTACGGCGTTGTTAGATAAAAGGGAACAATGTAACTATTGTACATACAGCCTGACACATATGCAAAAATTCACAGACAAACATGAATGGATAGCAACAGAAAACGGCATTGGAACAGTGGGAATCAGCAGTTTGACACAGGAAGCTTTGGGAGATGTTGTTTACTGTAGTCTGCCTGAAGTTGCAACAGAACTGAACAAACAAGAGGAGTTTGGTGCTTTGGAAAGCGTGAAAGCTGCCCGTGAACTCTATTCTCCTCTATCAGGAGAAGTAAATGAAATTAATGAAGCTCTATCAGAAAATCCAGGACTTGACAATAAATCTTGTTACGAAGATGGTTGGCTGATCAAGATGACACCCGGAACTAGGTGAACTAGTGAGTGAAGAAGCATATGAGAAATACATAAAATGTATTGAGGAGAGACAATGGAACCCCTAAATAAACTACTTTGAAAGAAAATCTAGGAAAAAAAGAAGTAAAGAATATATACAAAAGAGAGGGGGGATTAACAAGCATGCTGCTGAAAGTTTAAAGTAGCTTAGAGAGGGACTTCCCTGGCGGTCCAGTGGTTAAGACTCCGCACTTCCACTGCAGGGGGCTCAGGTTCGATCCCTGGTCAGGGAACTAAATCCCGCAGGCCGCAGCATGGCCAAAAAATAAATAAATAAAGTGCGTTACAGAGCATCAGACAATGTGCTTCACGTATAAAATCCACATCTGAGCAGGAAGGCTGAGGCTGGGAGAGACCATGGCACCTCTGGGAAGACCAAAAGGAAGCAGAGCCTGGGATGTTTTTGTCCTGAAATTGAAACTATGGGCATTCATTTTAGAGCCTGGAGCTATTTAGAGCCGTTACTCTACAAAGGCTATCTTCTCATAAAGGAACTAGTTCAAGTGGTTTTTATTGAGGAATCTCTACATCAGATCCCTTCAAAGTGGCTTTCTCAGTGAATGAAAGAGCAAAAACAAATGGTTTGTCTTAGAAGAAAACATGGGGGTAAATCTTCATGACTTGGAACTCGGCAAAGGATTCTTACATGTGACAACAAAAGCACGAGCCACAAAGAGAAAACAGATAAACTGGACTTCATCAAAATTTAAAACTTGTGTGTTTCAAAAGACAACATCAAGAAAGTGAAAAGACAACTCACACAATGGAAGAAAATATTTACAAATCGTCTACCTGATAAGGGACTCATATCTAGAATATATAATGAACTCTTATAACTCAAGGATAAAAAGACAAATAACCCAATAAAAAAACGATCAAAGGATCTGAATAGACACTTCTCCAAAGAATACATACAAATGGCCAATAAGCACATGAAAAAATGCTCAGCATCATTAGTCATTAGGGAAATGCAAATCAATACCATGATGGGATACCACCTCACACCCACCAGGATGGCTAGAATCACCAAGTCAAAGAGCAAGTATTGATGAGGGTATAGACAAATCGGAACGCTCGTGCACTGCTGGTGGGAATGTAAAATGGTGCAGCAGCTTTGGACAACAGTCTGGCAGTTCCTCAGTGGTAAGTTCAGTGTTACGTATGACCCAGCAATTCCACTCCCAGGTATATGCCCCCCAAAATGAAAACATTTGTCTATACGAACACTTGTACACAGCGTTATTCACAACAGCCAAAAGGTGGAAACAAACCCAAGTGTCCACCAACACATGAAAAGATAAACGAAATGTGGTATACAGATACAGTGGAATATTATTCGGCCATACAAAGGAATGAAGTACTGACACAGCCAGAACACGGATGAATCTTGGAAACATTATGGTACATGAAAGTCAGGCACAAAAGACCACAAACTATGTGATTCTATTCAGATGGAAGTTCAGATTAGGGAAATCTATAGAGACAGAAAGTTTGATTAGTGGTTGCTTAGGGCTCAGGGTGGTGGGGAGTTAGGGCTTTAGGGATAGGGGAGGTGTAGCTAAAGGGTACAGAGTCTATTTCTGAAGCGATGAAGATGTTCCAAAACTGACTGCGGGGATGACTTGCATGTATCCGTGAAAACACTAAAAACCACAGAACTGTACACGTGAGATGGCTAAAGCACATGGTGTGAGAATTATATCTCAACAGAGCTGTTAAACATTTTTTCATAGTAAAAAAGTTATGTGATTTAGTCACTCACTAAACAAAAATTAGAACATTTCAGCCGTCTGAGATTTGACACACGAGTATAACTTCCATGCTTTTGGATGATGGTTTCAGGCCAGTGTCATTCAACTCCTCTGTCTCCCTGGAACCAGGGAGCGAACGCATCAGGCTGGGACTGCTGAGTCTTGGGTAGACATAGCACACGCTCACCCTGTGGCTCAAATCCCCAGGACAGGTAAACAGCCACTTTTCTCCTCTTCCGTCACCCACACAGCCGGCCCCATTATCACCTCTCCACACACGCTCCCAGATGAGCCCTGCTCAAAGCTCAAAATGCGGGAGAAAGCTTCACCACCCAGGCTTCCTTACCTGATCGTTATCAGTCTCTTGAACAAAAAATGCTTCTCCATTATCTCCCAATTTCATGTGCAAATCCACTGCTTCCCCATTGATTTCTATGTCAACCTGAAGGAAAAACATATGTCCTTCATCACAACAGGAAACCTCACGGGCAACGACCAGGTCTCTACGTACACTTCAGTCACACGCATTCCCCAAATATCTCACAATTCCAAACCTCCGTTGGTCACTCTGGTCAAGAAACGGAGTCTTCTCCCCCACCACCACCACCATCCTGGGTCCATGCAAGCTTGTGATTGCCCCAGTGAGTAGAGCACAACACAGGTAAGGCCACGTGGCTTCCGAGGCTAGACCAGAAAACGAAGGCAGAGTCCGCCCGGCTCCCTCCCTTGCAGCCAGCCACCATGGTGTGAGGAAGCCCAGGCCACATGGGGAGCCCGCGCGGCGTCTGGGTGACGGCCTCGGCTAAGAGTCCAGCCAAGGGCCACCAGCCGAGTGAGCAAGTGCATCTACACAGGATCCCAGCCCCCAGCCCTGAGTCTTCAGCTGAGGCCCCAGGTGGCAAAGAGCAGAGACGGGCCAGCCTGCGGCACTTGCTGTGAATTCCTGACCCACAGAACCCCCGGAGCTTAATAAACAGTTGGTTTATGCCACTAAATCTTGGAGAAATTTACACAAGCATAGAGATCAGAACAATCCGAGTAACTGTCAATTCAGGGACCAGCCCTTTCCAACGGAAAGCTAAAACTCGGGGTCCGCGAGGAGCTCCGGATACGTAAAGCCGCAGAAGTGCGAGGATTTTTCTCTAAGGAGAGAACCCGTCCCCCAGGTCACGTACCACCTTCTCTCGGGAACGCAGGACCCCCATCTTCCCAAAGCGGACGTGGAAGGGGGAGCACTGCAGGCTCCCATTGGGCTGGCGGACCACAATGATGTCAATGCATCCGGACAGGGTGGCAGGGTTCAGCCCCTTGTAGAGCTCCTTCACGGTGACAAACACCTGGCCTGCCAGCTGCCCGACGTAATTCATGGTTTGAGCCTAGGAAACAGAGACACAAGCAAGGTGCACAAACGATTAACTCGGGGCAGGCTCTAGAGCCAGTCAAGGTTAACGTGCCCACGCCGCATGCCCGACTTCAAAGACACCCAGCTCAGGGCATCTGGCTCCCCTGGAATGGGCCCCACCCAGCGCTCCCCACCCCAAACCCTGGCCACCCCAGGAGGCCTGATCTCAGTCGTCACCGGGCTCTTCCTCTCTGAGTCCACAGTACGTGTGGCGCTCGCTCTTTCATCACGTGCAGGTTTTACAGACCAAATCTTCAGACTCTTGGGAAGAGAGACTGTATTTGAGACCTCTTCATATTCCCCACCACGCCAAAAAGAGTAGGTGTTTAATAACGCTGGTAGAAAAAAATGACTATTTTTACTTGAGAAGGAAAAAATAAGTGACTTTTATTTTGAACAGTTTCCATCCTGGTCCTTCTCTGCCCGCCTGATGCTCTCACATCTCGAGGGACACTTGTGCTCGGCTTCGGTCTGTCTGCCCAGCCGATCAACCGAAGTCCACTCAGCAAACATCCAGGGCCTCCACTCCACCAGGGGCCTGGCGCCGGGAGCACAGATTAAAAAGACGCAGACCCCGTGCCCCGGAGGGACTCGGGCTCGTGAAGGAGAGAGAAGGAGAACACACGTGGTCGTGTCTGCTTGGACTTAAGGAGACGCTGAGGGACTTACATCCAGGGAAAGAGGAGAGCCATCCCAGAGGAGCCGACAGTCGATGGGTGGGGAGCAGGGCTGGGATGCTCCCCGGGAGAGGAAGGTGGACAGGCCGCCGCAGACAGACAGGTGTGCGCACAGGCACAGAGGGGGCGGCGCCTGCGACAGAGAACAGGCAGGGGGAGGACGAGAGCCGACACCTGCCAGGAGACTCGGAAGGTGCTTTGTAGCAACTGAAGCCGTCGGGGACTCAGGAACCACAAGATCGGGATTCGATCCGTGATTTAGATAGAGCGCTGCAGTAAAAATGTAGAGAAGGCGGCCAAGAAAAGACACTGAAGGCAGGAAGACCAACCTGTGGCTTCTGGTGATGGTGCCGACAAGACAGGATGCCAGCCTGAAAGGCGGCAGTGACGGAAGAAACGAGGCAGAGCGCCAATCCCGGAGACACTGGGGCACAGGGCAACGGGAGCCCCGCCGGCACCGAGCCCTGGCCCTCCTCACAGCTGGGGCTCTGACGGGCACCCCGGCGTGAGCCACACCCGCCTGGCTGCCCAGCCAGGTGCAGCGACGGCGTGGTGACCCCTCAACAAACTTAAGACAGGGCTGCCACATGACCTAGCAATGCCACCTCTGGGTGTACAGTCGAGAGAACTGAAAGCTAGGTCTCAAAGAGATAACCTGCACACCCGTGTTCACAGCAGTGCTACTCCCAACAGCCAAAAGGTGGGAACAACCCAAGAGGCCACAAATGGATAAATGGATAAGCAGAATGCAGTATTACAGACACAATGGAATACTACTCAGCCTTAAAAAGGAAGGAAATTCTGGCACGTTACAACATGCATGAGCCTCGAGGGCATTACCCTAAGTGACACAAGCCAGTTACAAAAGGACGAATACTGTATGCTCCTACTTATCTGAGGTACCTAGAGCAGATAAACCCATAGAAACAGAAGGCAGAACGGTGATTACCAGGGGGGAGGGATAGGGCAGGGGAAGTTCATGTCTAACGGGGAAAGAGCTTCAGTGTGCAAGATGAGAAAAGTCCTGGAGCTAGATGGTGACCGTCCACCGTGTGAATGCACAACCACGTGCATGTATTGCATTAAGTCTACTGAACTGTTCACTCAAAAGTGGTTAAAAGAATAAATTTTATGTCACGTGCATTTTACCACCAGTTTTTAATTTTTTTACAAGGAGGGTAAAGGAGAATACTGCATTAACCAAAACTCATTTCAGGAAGAGGAACCATTATTTGGTTAAAAAGTTTCTTTGAGTGACAGCTTGGGCCCACGTCACCTCCAGTGCCTGCCTGGCCGAGGGGCGTGAGGGTAACCACACTCTCCTTGACCTTCCCTTCGTCCAGGGTCTCTTGTAAATACGTGCTGGAGAATAGGTACTGAATACAAGAATAAACCAGCTGGGCGCCGGTTCCCAAGTTTCACTTCCGTCAGTTCTGTTTGAAGTAAAAGGCTCAAGGAAGAAGCTAAGTTGATGACAGTGAAGAAGCCAGGCCAGCCCGAGTCCCCCTCCCTGCCACCCTTCACCTCCCTCCCGCCACGGTGTCCGCGGAGACACACCAGCAGGCGTGGAGGGGAACGTTTGCCCCGAAGAAAGTGCCTCAGGACCTCAAGAGAAGCCAAAGATGTGCACAAAACAAATGCTGCAACTTCCACTGAACGGCTTTGAGACACCTGCTCTCCACTCACCCCATTCCAAGTTACTTTTCAATCTCTTGATTTTAATCTCAGAATTTGGCTGGAAACACCTGCTTCACCTGACAAGGCTTCACTGACCACGTGAAACGGGATTCCACAGCCCTCGTTCCAAAGTTTTTCAAGGAAAGCTGAGCCAAACCTCCAAAAAAAACCCTCTGGCCAAACTGGGGCTCTCTAAGCTGTGCTTAACTCTGAGGTTAGGAAACAGGTAAATATATTTTTCTCAACATGACATCTTCCAGCTTGACCTCCTGGAATACTACTAATTTTCTAAGATTATTCCATGCCATCGGAACAGCGTCTTTCCGGATACTCTCCCCTAAGTTAGAAACCACTGCAGTAGTGGTATTAGACCCAAATAGATAATACACCACAGAGCACAAAAATCCAAAAGCATATTCCCACTGGGGATTCTATCTACAACATTCATAATCAACAGCGTCTTCAGCTTGAAGAGCATCAATTATTAAAACTAGGGACTTCCCTGGTGGCGCAGTGGTTAAGAATCCACCTGCCAATGCAGGGGACACGGGTTCGAGCCCTGGTCCAGGAAGATCCCACATGCCGCGGAGCAACTAAGCTCGTGTGCCACAACTGCTGAGCCTGCGCTCTAGAGCCCGCGAGCCACAACTACTGAAGCCCGTGCGCCTAGAGCCCGTGCTCCGCAACAAGAGAAGCCACCGCAATGAGAAGCCCACGCACCGCAACGAAGAGCAGCCTCCGCTCGCCGTAACTAGAGAAAGCCCGCGCACAGCAACAAAGACCCAATGCAGCCAAAACTAAATAAATTAATTTTTTAAAAAAAAGAACCTAAATACGGGGCTTTGAATTATTTTAGGCCAGTCCCTTTAATCGTCAATTCAGGAATCATTCCCACTCATTTATTATGCAAGTGGATAAAAGTGATTTTAATTCCCTTCCCGGGTCTGTCAAGGAGACTATTATCGAAGGCATGTTATCTAGGAAATAACAGTGTCTCCATTTTCATACTGTGGCCGTGCTTCCCGGCCGTGACACAGTGATGCTACGACAGGCGACACCCAAGTCGGAGCTACTCCTCTCCAGGAAGGCTGGTGGATCAGGGCGCAGGGCTGAGAAACCTCACCTTAGCAAAGGTCAAAAAGAGTGCAAAACTGTCTCAATAAACACAATTCTCAGAATACCCATTTTTGTTAAACCTTCCTCACCTTCATCATTTCCTTCTACATTCATCTCTTTAAGTCCCGCAAGAGTTCTACAATCACCCCTTAACCTGTATTTCCCATCGCGTCTCCAACGCCCTCATCTGCCTGTCAGGATACCTTGTTCACCTACGCGCCCAAAATCACTCATCGTTTTGCAAACTGAACCTTCCACTGGCCCTCCTGTTCAGTTAACACCAACCCCTCCCATCCTGGAAAGTTGCTTGATAAACGCAGGCTGTCATTTGTCAAACGGCTGGAGAGACCCCATCCAGCAAGCTGTCTGCCCTCCTTGAGGACGGGGAGGGGGCCTGCTCATCTCTGGGCACCCAGGAAATGTTGCGGCCGCACACGACCACGTTTCCTTTAACTTCCCAGGCTACCTCTGATTACATTCTTCAGCATTTGCCAGGAGCCCAATCTCTCGTATTTGTCTATTAAGATAGGTACGTGTGGAATGACGTGATTGAATTAAATCTACATGGTGACTGTCTTCCAAAAAGTGAAAATGCTTCATTGGTTGGGAACGCTTTTGCATTGGTTCAATGGAAACAGAGGATGCACAATCAAAGCTGCCCCGGTCCCTACTCTTATCACTTTGAAACAAACGCACATCCCAGAGTGACGGGCCAGAGTGCAGGAGAAGCCTGTTTCTCCCTGGTGACCATCGTGCCACAACAGGACTGGGGCGGTGGCACGTAGGGGGATGCGAAGCTATGTCACAGAGGGGGCCCCCAGGGCAGACATGGCCACACGGGTGGGCACAATATTCTAGTGCTTTAATGAGGAACGAGGAGACAGGTCATCACATAAAGAGAAATGAGGAAACGTACCAGAAGCTAATGAAAGAGAACTGCTGAAAACAAATTCCCTAACTCTACTAGAATTTCAGCAAAGGCTAACCCGTGGATCATCTTTGAAAGGACGTCCAGAATGAAAGAGAATTTTGGGCTCTCTGAGAAAGCAAATTCTACTGCCGTATGATGTTAACTTTTTGTCGGTCAACCCAGCCCCCCCGCCGCCCCCAGACCGATCCTTGTTTCCGTGAGGCTCTCCGGGGAGCTGCAGGTGCAGTCTGAACACGCATGCTTCTTACCTGACGCAACAACCAGGAACTCCAGGGAGAGTAAGTGGAGGCAAGAAGATAAAATGATGGTTTGGAGAAAGATATTTAATGGGCTTGGAAAACCACGACGGGTGCCTACTGACTCTGGAGAACAAGGAAGACTCCAAAGCCATCAGACCTAACGCCCACCCGGCGGGTGCTGCAAATCCTCAGCAGGCCACTAATCACTAATAATCACCTTTTCCTGAATCCCAGGTGAAAGGCCACACAAGCCTCCACACGACATTTGCTCAGCACTTCACGACACACGAAACTCCTTTGCCCAGGGCAGCTCATGTGATGCAAATCTATGAAA